AAGAATCAAGTAGTGAAGAATACTGAAAGATAGTGAAGAATCAAGACTGGAACTCAGTCCGTCTGAACCGGGTCCTGGGGGCTTTCCACTTTATCACAAGCAGTGGGTACTGTCACAAGTACAGTGCTTCACACACCCTGGTTCAGGACCACGTGCACAAGCACACAGGCGCACACACACTCTGCCATCCTCCATCCCATCCACCCAGACTCCTCAGGCCGAAGTCTCTTCTCTCACCCTTATTACTGGGCTGTCTGGGGGCATGTGTAACTCGGCAAATGAGAAATCAGCATCCACCTGGAGCCACGGAAGGCATCTCTCTTCACCACAGTTGCTCACCTCTCTTTTGACAGAAAATCGTGAGGCACTGAATGGCCCAACCAGGCCCTCAGTACCTCTAGAGTCCCTGCAAGAGTCCCTGTGCAGAGCCAACGACCCCTGGGCGTCAGGACTCTGGACTCCCACTGATTCTCCATGTTCTCTTGCCCTGTGTAGCTGTGCTTTCTCACTGCAAAGGAAATGTTGGAGGCCAGGGTCTTTTCTAGCTCCATCCCGGGGCTCCATGACCTTCAGAAGGCAGGCACGACCCCATATCTCCTTCACTGTCCAATATGGCAGTCGCATGTGGCTATTTACACTAAAATTAAAAATAATTAAAATCGAATAAAATCAATGCGGCTAGTGGTCACTGCACTGGACAGCACAGATACAGAACATTTCTATCATTGCAGAAGTTGTGCTAGGCAGAGCTGGATTCTGGACAGCAGTAAGCATAGGAGCCTTGTGGCTGAGAGGTGCCGGGATAGACCAAAGAGGTAACTGGGGAAATAGCAAAGGGCCCCTTTTCTGAAGGTGCTTTTCTGGGTGGGGCAGTGAGGGATGGTGACTAGTGAGATCCCTGAGGCCTCACTATAGCAAATAGGGCCGGCAGCCAACAGAGCCCTGCTCAGGAGGTGGCAGAGAATGACCAAAGGAGAGTCTGGCTAGTAGAGAGACTTGGAGCCGGCCTGGCCTCTCTCCAGCCTCCTCCCCACAGCAACCCTTCCCCGGACACCTTGTCACCCCTTCCCCTTCCTTCCCACCCCCACCCAACACCACGCCTTGCTTTGGCCTTGTAGCTGCGCCAGGCCTTTAGTTCTCCTCCCAGGACGTGGGCAGGGTCTGTCCACTTCACACCCCGAATGCCCAGCAAAGCACTGGGCTCAGGGATACCCACTGGCCTAACTACCCAGCCCCATTCACACGCTCAGGATGGGAGGGAGGCTTTAACTCAGTCTTGCCCCAACTCCTGCCCCGGATGTGCCCAAACACTCCAACGTCCTGGCTGCTCAGTGGCCTGCCAGGGGACAGCACAGTCTGCTGGACTGGCACACATCCCAACGCCATCACCCAATGTCCCCTCTCCACGGAGTGTGTTTCTGTCGGGGGTGGGAGGTTGCCTGTGGGGGCTCTCTGCAGGGAAGCACCTTTGAGATGCAGCAGGGGTCGCCCCTGCAGAGTCATTTCCTGGGGTCCGGGGACAGGGTGGGGGCAGGGAGCAGGGGCACAGAGGGGCGAGCCCAAGCTGACGTCGCGGGAGCAGCGGGTCTCTCCATTCCAGGATGAGGTGGGGGCGCAGAACGAGCCCTCCCCAGCCTCCTCCCCCAGGCTACCGGGAGAGAGCAGGAGTCTCCCTGCCTCGGAGGCCGGGAAGCGAGCCTCGGAGGGGACCCGGGCGGGGCGGAGCCAGCGGTGGCCCCACCCCCGGCGTCACCGGGGCCCCCTAGGGGGCGTCGGGGGGCGTCGCCCCCGCCCCCACCCCGCGCTCCAGGTAGCGGCGGCCGCAGCTGCCGGCGTTGGCTGGCTGCGCTCCCCAGCGGCCCGCGGGCCGGGGCAGGGGCGGGCCGGGGGCGTTCCCGCGGGCCGCCGCCCGTGATGTCACAATCGCGGCGGGCCGCGGCGCTCCGGGGTCGGCGGTGGGCGGCGGGCCGCGAGCGGGCGATCGAAGCGGGCAGCTCGCGCCTGAGTCATGGACTTCCCCTGGCCCCTCCTCTACCCCTCCCACTCCCTCGCCGGGCCCCCCCGCCGGGGCTAGCGTCGGCCGCGGCTCCGAGGGGGTGGGGCTGCTGGGAATGGCTGTGCCCCCTTCGGCCCCTCCGCCGCGCGCGTCCTTTCACCTGAGGAGGCACACGCCTTGCCCGCAGTGCTCATGGGGCATGGAGGAGAAGGCGGCGGCCAGCGCCGGCGGCCGGGAGCCGCCGGGCCCCCCGAGGGCCGCCGCCGTCGCGTACTTCGGCATTTCCGTGGACCCGGACGACATCCTTCCCGGGGCCCTGCGCCTCATCCAGGAGCTGCGGCCGCATTGGAAGCCCGAGCAAGTTCGGACCAAGGTAGTGGAGTGGGCTCGGGGCCGAGGATGGGGCCCTGCCGGGGCTGCCACGAGGATGCGGGGACCCAGTCCTCCCATCCTTCCGGGGTGTCGGTCCCAGGGGTGCACGGCTGCTGCGCAAGAAAGGTTTGGAACGTGGTTTGTGTATGGATCTGTTTCGTCCCTAAGCAAAACTAGGCTCACACCTCCCTCGGCCCTGCACACGCCCCCCTCCTCGTGGGGCTCTTGGGCACGCCGGGTGGCCACCCGCCCAATGTCGTTTGCGGGCCGCACCCCCTGGCGCTGGGTGCTGGTGCCCCTCGCTGCCCAGAAGCGCGTATACAGCCAGCTCTGAAACCTGAGGAGGCGTGAACTTCTAAGAGACCCCCCCCAGCGCACGCATACATTTCTGCCCCACCCCATGGTGGGAGCAAATCCTCCAGGCTCTGAGCTGCCTCTATGAGTCCCTGGAGCCACCCTGTGGAATTCCAGCTAGCACCCAGCCCCTCACCATAGCTGCAGGCTCAGGCCCAGCACCCCCCACACAGGCCATCTTCCCCAGTGCCAGCTGGCCACAGGTCCCGGGACACATCTGTGGACAGAGCCATCCACTGAACCCACTCTCACAGCGGCTCCATGCAGTGGGCATTCTGGGGTTGGGTGGGGTGGGGGCAAAGTTGTGGAGAGGTTCTAAACCAAGTGTGGAGGCTGACAGACCCCCCCAGCCCTGGGGAGGGAGTAGCATTTTCAAAATAAAAGGTCCAGTTTGGTGTAAGACTGTCAAAGCATCAAGCAGGCCTGAGGTTAATTCCAGCACTGACATAACATGCCATCTGCCCTCCCCTCTCCTGCCTCAGTTTCCCTACCTAGAATTGGTTCAAATGACCTCTAAGGCCCTCCCAACTCTGTCCCATTGTGCCCCATAAATCCATGATTCCTTTCTCCTTATCACCCTGCTGTCCAGAGAACCTTGCTCACAGCTCAGTTGTCTCCTGCCTTTTCCGGTCAGGACCTCTGACCACTAAAGTCCTGGGATGGGTGCCAACCTTAGTGCCCTCCTTGTACCTCTGCCACTGGATGGGGCACGAGGTAGAGCAGAGCCCACTGCCTGGCACAAGGTGAGAGGCAGCTGGTCAGGATGTTCTGTTCTGGACAACTCCCAGCCCTCCCCTGCCACATTCTGGTCCATGGGGTTTCTTTTGGTGCTGGGATGGAGGGTAAGGAGTGGGAGGGGGCCTTTGCCTCCCAAGTAGTGTGGAAATTTCTCCACTGCCAAATCCCATTCACTAGAGGCAGACCCAGGAGTGTGTGGAAGCTGAACCCAAGCTACATTTTTTTTTTTCTTGAACGCTATAGAGACTGGAGACCCCAAAGTTTGGGGACAGAGTGGAGCATGAGTGACTTGGCTAAAGCACTGGGGGCTTGGGGTGGTTGTGCTCAGCATTCAAATGAGCACCTCCTGCAGGAGCTACAGAGCCCTGGGGAGAGACCAGAGGGACCCTGTCCCACCCCCACCCACGCACTGCCCTCTCCCCATGCCAGCGCTTCACGGATGGCATCACCAACAAGCTGGTGGCCTGCTACGTGGAGGAGGACATGCAGGACTGTGTGCTGGTCCGGGTCTATGGGGAGCGGACGGAGCTGCTGGTGGACCGGGAGAATGAAGTCAGAAACTTCCAGCTGCTGCGAGCACATGGCTGTGCCCCCAAACTCTACTGCACCTTCCAGAACGGGCTGTGCTATGAGTACATGCAGGGTGTGGCTCTGGGGCCTGAGCACATCCGTGAGCCCCGGCTTTTCAGGTGAGGAGCGTGCCAGGGCCTCTGTCTCTACTATTCTTCAGGCCTTGGGCTTGGAAATCTTTGGCATGTGGGGTCCGTAGTGGAGACTTGTAAGATCTGTGAGTTCCCTGAAATTACATAAAAAATGCATGTTTATATGCATTGCTCGGCAGAGAACAGCTATAGCTTTCCATGGATTTTAAGCGGTGTCTGCTAGAAGGATGGGTTCTGGGGGAGGAAAGGAAAAATTGTCATGAGGATGGGACCAGAGGACCTGGTTCCCTAAATGCAGCAGAGGTCTGCTTCCTGGTAACGTACCTCAAACCTCTGCCCATTCCAAGTCTGACCTGGAAACATCTCAGAGCCTTAGAAACTAAATCTGAGCCAGATCCCCAGGGCACTCAGGGCGTCCTACCTCTGTCTCAGTTTGTCAAGGAAAATGGACCCTATCCAGGGTGAGCATGGTTTACCAGCCCAGGGAGATGCTACCTCTCCTGCCAGTCTGAGCTCCTTCCGGGCTCCCTAACGAGGTGGGAACCCAGGTTTGGGGAACTGTCAAGGCCTCCTTTCAAAGGCTCACAACAACCTGTGGCTCCTGGGGAACCCCTCCCAGTAAATGCTTGGATGTGGTGGGCCCAGGAACTGGACTTTTCCTTCAAGCCTTGGGGATGCCGTAGAGCCTGGAAAGGGGGAGGACCAAAGAAGGATCCCTAGTATCTCCCTCACCTCTGTGCCAGAACAAAGGTGGCAAGCAGTGTCCTCCTTCCTCCCTCCAATGTCACGACCCACATGGAGGGCACTGACTTGAGTGAGGCCCAAGGCAGGCTGGGGTTTACTCCTGCCACTGGGACAGGGGCACAGGGGCCTGCCTAGGAGCCTTGGCGTCTGCCCAGGCTAATCCAAGGGAAGGAGGCCTCACTTACTGAGGGGAAACAAGCATGCCTGTGGGTAGAGTAAGAAGCTTCTTTGCTTCATCACCTGCCACCCACGTAACCCCAAGTGCACGTGGCTCTGTTTGTGTATGCCTTGCAGGGACTCAGAAGAAGAGGATCTGAGAGCCCCTCCACCCTCGTGCTCCTAAGCTGCTGGTCGGGTGGCATATTTCAGTTATGTATTGTAGCTGTGTGTGTGTGTGTATCTTGAGGGTGTGAGGCATACAAACCTATGCAAGGGTGTTTGCAGGTTCTAGCTGAACAGGTCCAAAAGTACCCAGACTAGAAATGTGAAACCACAGCAGGGTACAGGGGACCCTGTCCTGACTTCTGCCACTGCACTCCTCCCAGCGCTCCCTCAGTCTGGTGCAAATAAGCTCGGATATCGGCAGGTCTCACCACTCCCAGGATCCCTCCGCCTCTATGTATCCGAGGCTGTCACTCATCCTCTCATGAAAACAATTACCATTGTCAAGAAGATTGAAGCTAGATTTAGATTCCCTAAGAAGAAGAATATGGCATCTGGGGGAGAGCCAGAAATTGGGATAGGTGTAGGAGGTAGGCCCTTCCTTGATGATTTTCCCAGGATAGACCATCATTTCTCTGGGTGAAGGTGGATGTCTTCGGGGAAGGCCTCCAGGAGCCACCCCTCTACATGTTCCCTTGAACCCCACCCCCAGCCTCGGCTTGCTGAGGCTTTGCAGCATGAAAATGCTGAGTGTTGAGGTTACTTTCATTGCTATTCCAGACAACAGCCCTATTGATATTCAAGAAAACGCTCTGTTCATGCTCTGTTCCGAATCTTCCTTTGGGAAGGGAAGGCCTGAGTCTCAGGTCTGTTTCCCTGCCTTGCCCAAACCCTGGTGGGTTCCCTTCTTCTGCCCCAGGGCTCTGGCCTCTGAAAGAAAGCACAGCCTTCCTCTCTCACCCACGTGGTTGCTGCCACGCCCCTTGTCTCCTCTACCCTTTAGGAGGTGGGGGCCTTGGGGACTTCCAGAGGAACCCCAAAACTGCTCTGTTATCCCAGTAGGATATAGCCTGTCTCTTCCCAGAGCCTGGCAAGAGAGAGGGTGTCCGTGAAACAGCTTGGTAACAAGGTTTCAAACAGCCAATGCCTTTGTTGTCTTTCCCAGTGATTGTTTTTCGAGCAACAGGCAGAGGCTGTATGTTGGAAGGAAGCTGACTGTTGGAGGCTTAGCAGACGGTTGGGGGGTGGGGCTGCAGAAGGGAGGACTGGCAGGGGACTGGGAGGGCCCAGATGGGACACAGGGCCTCTGGCGATGGGGTCCTTATCAAGGCCCTCCTTCTCTGACTGGTCAGCCTTCCACTCACCCCCACCTTCTCCCAGCAACCTTCCCTACCACCCACTCCTCTCCTGAGACCTTGGATAATGTCCACAGGAGAACTTGAAAATAGAACGCTGGTTTGTTTTGCGTCCTTGGCACTCAGCCGCCAGCATTAACTCCCCATAGCCGAGGAAGGGGCTGCCCTGAGCCAGTCTGTTTTCCTCCCCACCTTGGCCAGGCTGATAAGAGGCAGGCATTTCTTCCCTGCTTGGCATCACCACCCCCGATCTCTTGGTGCAAAGTGATCTATGTTCACGTATCCTGAGAGGATGGGTCAGAGTCCAGGGGGAGGAGAAGCTGCCCCATCCCCATCCCCCAAGTGCCCCTCTGTTCTCAGGGGTAGCCGTGGGTACACTGGGGTAAGGCAAGGCCACTGACCTGTGACCAACAGCCCACTGCTCTACCCTTCTGCTCCCTGAGGCAGCCCCAGCCTGACACTGGAAAGGGAGCTGCTACCAAGCTACGGTCTTAATTTATTTTCCGTCCTTCTGCCGAGACCTTCCTTCTGTGGGACCTGTGCTCCTAAGGGACTTGCAATGATCCCATCCTTGGCCCTCTGGCTAGTGCCGTGGTGGGCCAGGAGGGGATGAGTGGGGAGGGCATGTCCCAGCACTGATGCTCTACTCTTCTTGTTCCCTGCTGTAGGTTAATCGCCTTAGAAATGGCAAAGATTCATACTATCCACGCCAACGGCAGCCTGCCCAAGCCCACTCTCTGGCACAAGATGCACAATTATTTCACGCTTGTGAAGAACGAGATCAACCCCAGGTACAAAGATCTGGGGGGGTCCAAGGCTGCCTTAATGTGATCCCCCTTCCCCATCCTTTTGGTTTCAGCCCACCCTTCCAGGAGGTTTAAGGACCCAGGTCCTGGGAGGGGGCTGGGGAGTTTCCCCTTCAGTCCTAGTTGCTAAGCCTCTGTCTCCAAGCAGAGTTGGGCCCGTTGATTAAATCTCAGGAGCTTAGATGAGCAGTTTTATACCGGTGTGCTCATTTCTCCTTGACTCTCTGATTGTGGCAGGGACCAGGGTTGGGGACGTTTCCCCATTTTACTTAGCGGATGCTGAAGCTGAGACTGAGCTTGGTCCAGTGTTACAGGGCTTGTGAGAGGCAGGGCTTCTGTTTCTCAGCCCAGGGCTGTTTCCACCTGCCCTGCCTTCTGAACCATGAGCAGGGCAGGGCCCTCAGAATGAGGCGGGACTGAACTTAGCGTCAGAGGAACTCAACTCATCAGCTGACAAGCCCTTGGGACATCAAGGTTCCTGCTACTTCCTAAGACCTTTCTTGTCCCCATGTGCCTTTGGGGACTGTGCCCCCACCTTGCTCAGACTGACAGCTTGCTGCTTCCCTCACTGCTCTTCCCAAGAAAGGAGGTAGACCCCCAACCTGACATTGCCTTTCCCCAGGGAAGACAGGGTTCCCTGAGTTTTCCCTTAAGCGCTTGGACCAGCAACCTGAGAGTCCTGTAAACCTTTAGACACCTGACTCCCCAACACACCCTGAGTGCCGAGGAAAAGATGGAGGCCTGGAGGAGAGACTGGTGTCTTGCCTTCCATCCTCCAAATAAAAGGCAGGAGTGAGTCTCTGATTCCTTCACACTCCTTGCTGGGATTGGCCATCACCCGTGTTCCAAATGTTCATGGGAGCAGGGTGCAGAAGAGGTTTAGGGGGAAGGATGTGTCTTCCCTCTTCTAAGATGACAAGATAATAATGAACTCCATCCCCATTTGAGTATGTCTCTGTCACCCACATGCATGACTGTATCCGCATCCTCCCACGCTATGCTTACCAGGCTCTGTGTTGGGACTGTTTGTCCATGGTGGCCCAGGCCTGCCCTCTCTTTGACCATGTTCAGACCTTGTATGTCAGATATTCTCTCTGGGACAAGGACTTCCTTTTCCCTCAGGGCTAGAACAGTTCACAGAGAACAGGTCCTTCCAATCCTTCAGCCCACAGCTTTTATTTGACAGATGGAAAACCGAGGCCCAGGGAGGGGATGGGACTTGCCCAGGGTCGCTGATCAGTGGCAGTTCGGGAACTAGAGCCAGGCCTCTGGTGCTCAGACATGGTCCTGAATACTACAGCTTCCTTTGACGGTGCTGCCACTGTGTGACCTTGAGGGGTAACGTTATTGGGAGGGAGTAATCCCTGGAGGAGAGCTGGCCCAATCTCTTTGCTCCTGTCACACCTTTGAACCTTGAACAAATCAAGTTGCTTAACTTCTTTGAGCCTCTTTAGGGGATGATCCATGCCCTAAGCTGCCTGACTGCCCAAAAGCAGAGCCTCGATGAGCAATCATTTAGACAAGATAAGCACCTGGAGCTCCAGGCATTGCCTAATAACCCTGGATTATTCAGTCCTTCATTTCACAGACATTGATTGACTGGGATTTAAAACAATTTAAAAATGAATGTGACATTGGCCCTGCCCTCAAAGAGCTTAAGAGCCATCTGGGTATACAGGGCACGGCCATGCACAGCTGCACAAGAAGCCAGGGTGTGTAATGTATGCTGGCGGTGGGAGAACCCGGGGAAGTTGTCTTGGCAGAGGTGGCGTGGCAGAAATGAGCAGGGAGGCTACTCCAACTGGAGGAGATGGCTGGAGCGGGGTTTGCTTATGAGTGACGAGTAGATGCGGTTGGCTGGAGCAGATCTTTGGGAGGACTTGACTCTTAGAAAGAGTCTTGTGGGGAGAAAGTACTCTTGCCTGCCCAGATCCTGACAGCGGAGTGGGGACTGGCCAGGCAGCAGTCCCAATATCAGGAGGAACCCCAAGTCTTCCCTAAGAGACCTGCAGCCCCTTCCTCACCCTCCTGCTGAGTCTGGGGCAGAGGAGCAGGAGGAGCAGTTTTTCCTGGGCAGTGTTTCTGGGATGCGGTGGTGGTTACTCTTCTGCCAATCCCACAGCCTTGAAAGAGCCCCATGGTGGCAGGACTGAAGGTAGCAAAGCTGGCGATGTTTCAAGTGCTCAGGGGAGGGAAGCGGAGCAGTGAGGGAGGCCCTGGGGAGACGGAAGGCCAGGACTGTTCCCACAGTAACCATCTTCATGGCCTTGGGGTGGGCAGGGTGGGGGTCAGGTTGAGGTCAGGGACACAGCAGCAGGCATCTTGGATGTCAGAGCCATGTTTTTCCATTTGGGACCTGAGCAAATCAAAGGAGCCCTCCCAATTCTTCTCTTGATGGTCAGTCTAAGAAAAAAAAAGGAATCTTAAAAGGTACCTTCTTAAGGAGAGTCAACACTGAAACATATCTTATGCAGACCTGTCGACACAGATAAACTCCAGGAAGCGTGGGGGAGGCCTCCCCCATATCACTCCTCCCAGCGGACTCCTTGGACTCAAAGAGGCCTTTGCAGAGCCTCTGAAGGGCACCCAGGCCTTCAGAGAGAGTACACAGCCTTCACAATTAGAAGACTCTATTCAATTTGAATCCTTGGACAGGCCAAGGACTGCTTTCCTTAGACAAGGAAGTAGAGGACCCAGCAGTGCAAGAGATGTCTGGAGGCTGGGAGGAAGCCTCTTTCCTTCCTTGAGCCTCAGTTTCCCCATGGGGCTGGACTAGATGACCTCAGATCTTTTTTTTTTTTTTTTTTTGAGACAGAGTCTCGCACTGTCACCCAGGCTGGAGTGCGGTGGTACATTCTCAGCTCACCACTACCTCCACCTCCCGGGTTCAAGAGATTCTCCTGCCTTAGCCACCCGAGTAGCTGGGATTACAAGTGCCCACCACCACGCCCAGCTAATTTTTTTTTTTTGTATGTTTATTAGGGATGGTATTTCACTATGTTGGCCAGGCTGGTCTCGAACTCCTGACCTCATGATCTGCCCACCTCAGCCTCCCAGAGTGCTAGGATTACAGGTGTGAGCCACCGTGCCCGGCCAACCTCAGATCTTCTTTAGCTTTGACCTTCTCAAAGCCTGGAAGGGAGCCTGTCCTCTCTTCCTTCCCTGGTGGGGACAGAGGGGTGCCTCAGTCACTGAATACTCTTCCTCGTGTTCTGGCCTCTGGGCTGCGTTAGGGAGCAATTGGTCTGTCCTGTGAGAAAGTGAGAGAGGGCCAGTCTCATTCTTATCCTCCTCTATGTGCTCTTGTTGTCCTGGACAAGAAACACAAACAGGTGACACGGGAATGGAGATCAAAGCCCAGCCTCCTCCTCTCTGCCCATTGGTGGTTCTAGGTTTTTAAGGACTGCGATAAGTGTTTGGCCTTTTCAGTGTACACAGACCTGTGTGCCTCCTGGGGACAAAAGTTCAGAGCACACGAGGACAGCACATCCTCATCAGACTTCCACGTGGCCTTTAATTTGATTGATTGGCTGGTTTCTTCATTCCCCAACATGTGTTTCTTTCAGCAGGAAGGACTGCTGGGTGCATGGGATGGGGGTGGTGCAGAAGGAGAGGTGGACCCATGCATCTTTGTTCATGCTGCCAAGTTGCCTGTGCATGGTCTGGCAGGGGTCTGGGACCAGGGAACACGTACTCATAACTCAAGGTAGAAGGGATGAGTCACTGGGGAGCCCACAAGGCAAGCATGCTCTCATTGAAGGCGTTAGCATTCCTTTAACAGTATAGGAGTGAACTAAAGAAGCTCTTTGTGGCCGGGCACGGTGGCTCACGCCTGTAATCCCAACACTTTGGGAGGCCGAGGCAGGTGGATCACGAGGTCAGGAGTTCAAGATCAGCCTGGCCAAGATGGTGAAAGCCCATCCTTACTAAAAATACAAAAATTAGCCGGGCATGGTGGCGGGCGCCCGTAATCTCAGCTACTTGGGAGGCTGAGGCAGAGAATTGCTTGAATTCGGGAGGCGGTGCAGTGAGCCGAGACCACGCCACTGCACTCCAGCCTGGGTAACAGAACGAGACTCTGTCTCAAAAAAAAAAAAATAGTTCTCCGTTCGCTTTGTCATATGAGCCGATGGTCAGTTTGTGAGATGACAGGTTAGACCAAAAAGTCCTAGGATTAAGAAGATTTTAATTAAAAAGAAAAAAGAGAAGAGAGGGTTAGAGCAGCCCATCTCTCTGGTCCCTTCTACCTGTGACACGGTGAGCTGCTGGGGTGAGCGGGGGCACACCAGGACATACTTCTGCCTCCTCAACAGAGCTCCATTGCTCCAGCTCCCTGCCAGGGCCCTGCTCTTCCTCCCAGGGAGGAGCTTGTGGGAGAGTCTCGACAGGCAGCGGCACCTCCTCCTGGCGAGTTTTCCCAGCATCCTAAGAGCGGGTCTGTTTTGCATCCCTCCCCACTGCTCCCGTTGCCCTTGCTCTCTCTTATTCTGGAATCCCTGAGTCTGGACACTGGCCCTGCCCTTTCCCTGTGTCTCCTTCCTTACCCTCCTGTCCCTTTCACAAAGTAGCAGGGACGCCCTCAGCCAGCGACTTTTATGCCCTGCCTCATGCTTTGATGCCCATGTCTTAATCAGCTTCCTAGTGTAACCAGAGAAGTCAGATGGACGGGAAGCCTCAGTGCCATTTTACAGTTGATAAAAGCGAAGGTCTGAGAGACCGGCCGTTTTCCCAGGGTCCCCTGCAGTAAGACGGAGGGAGTGATGAGGCTCGCACTCAGGGCTCTTGAGGCCAAGCACCTCCCTGTCTATCCGCCCTCCCTTCACTGGCTCCCTTTTTTTTGCCACTGCCCAGCCTTTCTGCAGAGGTCCCTAAGGTGGAGGTGTTGGAACGGGAGCTGGCCTGGCTGAAGGAGCATCTGTCCCAGCTGGAGTCCCCTGTGGTGTTTTGTCACAATGACCTGCTCTGCAAGAACATCATCTATGACAGCACCAAAGGTATGGCTTCTCTGGCCCTGGGACAAGCAAAAGGAGACCTGCATTTGGGTCTTTATTTTTATTTTTATTTTTTAAGAAACGGGGTCTCATTATGTTGCCCAGGCTGGAGTGCAGTGGCTATTCACAGGTGCAATCCCACTACTGATCAGCACGGGAGTTTTGACCTGCTCCGTTTCAGACCTGGGCTGGTTCACCCCTCCTTAGGCAACCTGGTGGTCCCCCATTCCCGGGAGGTCACCATACTGATGCTGAACTTAGTGCGGACACCCGATCGGCATAGCGCACTACAGCCCAGAACTCCTGGGCTCAAGCGATCCTCCCATCTCAGCCTCCTGAGTAGCTGGGACTACAGGCACGCACCACTGCACCTGGCAGATTTAGGTCTTAAGTTAATTTGTAGGAGGGAAGGGGAAAAGCAAATAAAAATTTCCCACTTTGAAAAATCCGTGCCAAGGGCCGGGCACAGTGGCTCATGCCTATAATCCCAACAGTTTGGGAGGCCAAGGCATGTGGATTGCTTAAGCCCAGGAATTCAAGACCAGCCCAGGCAATGTGGTGAAACCCCGTGTCTACCAAAAAAATACACAAAACTTTGCCCAGTATGGTGGTGCATACCTATAATCCCATCTGCTCAGGAGGCTGAGACAGGAGGATCACTTAAGCCTGGGAGGTGGAGGTTGCAGTGATGGAGCCACTACACTCCAGCCTGGGTGACAGAGTAAGACCCTATTTAAAAAAAAAAATCTATGCCAAGAAAGAACTCAAAATCATGGTTTGCGGAGGTCCTCAATAGTAGGGCACTTAAGCCATTACTCCGACAGTTCTGGACTTCTGAGAACACTGTGGCTGGCCCGAGCCTTCAGGGAAGGAGCGGGGTAGGGGAGAGTTGGGGGGAGGGGGGGAGGGAGGGAGGGAGGAGAGAGGAGAGAGACACCAGCATACCTCCTGATGTTGCTGCTGAGAGCATCACTCCAGGGCATATTAATACTTAGCTGTATTCCTGATCCTTAGCCATGCTGAGGACAGATGTCTTTAGATGAGGAGAGCCTGAAGATCCAGCTGTGTGAGAGGGACACTGGGAGCTGGGAAGGGCAGATAGAAGGATGGAAGGAAGTAGCTTAGAAGACTACTGCAGCGATGGGGTTGGGCAGGATTGCTGCAGAGGCCGGCATTGGTCAGTGGGTGCATCCCAGAGGTCAGTGGAAGCTTGACCAGGCCAGTTTCCAGATCTCCTGGGCCAACGCTCATCGACTGTCCTCTGTTTCATAGGTCACGTGCGGTTCATTGACTATGAATATGCTGGCTACAACTACCAAGCTTTTGACATCGGCAACCATTTCAATGAGTTTGCAGGTGAGAGGGGCATTGCTACCGTCACGTGCTGCGTAGCGACGTGTCAATGACCGCATGTAGATGGTGGTCCTATGAGTCTACTGTATGTTTGTGGTAACAGGTACCATATTGTTACTGTACCTTTTCTATGTTTAGATATGTTTAGATGAAGAACTACTTAGCACTGTGTTATAGTTACCTACAGTATTCAGTACAGCGACATGCTGTACAGGTTTATAGTCCAGGAGCCACAGGCTGTACCGTGTAGCCTGGGTGTGTAGTAGGCTGTCCGTCTAGGTTGTGTACGTACACTCTGTGATGATCACACAAAGTCACCTAATGGTGCGTTTCTCAGAAGGTATCCCTGTCATTAGGCAATACGGGACTATATTTGGCCGATGTTCAAAGCACCCTGTTTATGATGGGGACCAGGGCCGGGGCATGGGGAGGGCCGGAGGTGGTTCTGTACTTGGAGGGTAGAGGCTAGATAGCTTTTGTCCTCCAAAATATCACAGCTTGAGTGGTTAAGGCACAGCCTGCTTTTAGAGAATTCCAAGTCTCGTTGGGGAACCAGGACTGACATACACAGGGCAGACCTCTCTTAGCCCATATGGCACTTTGGTACCAACTAAGCAAATGTGACCTCTGTAGGATCCCTGAAGATACTCAGCTTGGTACACAAATTAGAAAAAGACCCCTTCCTCCGGGTGGACACAGACAATTGCTGCGGCTTGGCTGCCATAGCACAGGATGACTCCAGCCTCCGCTCCTTTGTCCAAGCTCCTTTATGCCCAGTGCAACTGGCGAAGTTGTACATGGGGGCCTTCCATACAGATAAGGAGCAGAACAAGCTACAAGCAGCTGTTTGCCTGGTAGCCTGATGAGAATCATCTAAGTAGAATCTAAGTATGTGCTATGTAATTTGACTCCCTAAGTTCAGTTCCTGGCTTTGCTGCTTACTGGCTGTGTGACCCTTGGGCAATTTATTTACCCTCTCTGTGCCCCTGTAAAATGGAGATCATAATAGTTCCCACTTCATAGTGTTGATATGAGATACACACACACACACACACACACACACACACACACACACACACACGTCTGACACATACTAAGCATTGTATTGGCGTTTGGTACTATGATTAGACTGGGAAGCTTTCCGGGAGTGGGAATGGAAAGGGCAGGGTAGAGGGGTGATTCCTAGGGTAGGCAGTTGTTCTATAAAGGCATGGTATGCACAATGGAACCATTTGTGTAAAGGAAGCAGGGCAGGTTTTTCCGGCTTGAGACTTAGGTGGGACCGAGGAGGCAACTCACATGGACGGAGCTGGACACTGGGACTGGAGAGCTGTCCCCAGACTAGCATGGTGAGGGGTTCACATGAGGGGGCCAGGCCCGATGGCTCAGGATAGGTAAGGCATGTGCAGGCCAATTGGAGAGCTACTCTCCACCAGTGGTGTCGGGCCAACTGTGTTCCTCCTGGAACCCCAGGCGATGAATCTGTTGAGCATTGACTGTACCTGAGAGTACACCTAGGAACACCTGGGGTGATGGGGCCTCGGCTGGGCAGAGCAGCGGAGCCTCAGGGTGTGCCGTGGAGCAGAGGCTGGTACCAGCAGGGCCCTGGGCCTGGGAATGCTTGGATGCCAGGCCCATTGGCCTTTCCACAGAGGATAATTCTTAAGCGTTTTAAGCCCTTCTCACCCACGGCACAGAGCAAAGTCCAACTGGAATTTCTCCAAAGGGGTAGATTGTAGCCTGCTCCCAAGTTGAGAATGGAGGAGGCAGAACCTAGCATGGGGGAAGGAAGAGAGCTGGGGAGATCCAGACCTGGGGAGAGGGACCTCACGGGTACGCAGGAGTGAGGAAGACAGTTCTGGGCACTGGGAGATGAGACTTCCAACCCTGACTCTGCCTCTAACCACTGTTTGACCTTGAGCGCACTTCTTCTCTTCTGTGGGCCTCCGTTTCGACATCTGTTCGAGGAGATTCTTTTCTAGCCACACTCCTGGAGCCTCAGGAGACTGTGTCTGTTTCTCCAGGGATATAAAGGAAGCTTGAGAAGGACAAGAAGAAGAGGAAGGAGGGGACATTGGAGAAGGTGGCCCAGTCCGGGTCCTGT